GGAGGGGCAGGTGCTGTGCTAAGGACGTGATCAGCCAAAATCAACACACCACACGTTACAGACGTGGTAGAGAACCTTGCCATTGGTGCCGTGTCATGTGGCGAGGTGAGGTGATTGTGTACTGGACTGCTCCGCATAGAGTCTGTAGGTGCCCACTATGTGCCCACCACGGACTGTCTGCCTGGTACAGCCAGATGATGAGGTCCTCAAAACCATACGGGTCTCTCCAAATCCGAACAGAATCTATTTCTACATTGCAAATGAATGGCAAAGGAACACTGTGATCACCACCATGATTTGGGCAGTGTACGGAGAAGCGCTGGAGACACCATCGTCTATCACAGTCAAGACAAAGGGTGATTCAACGACTTCCGCACCGCAAATAACTGGACTTCCGTAAAACAGCACTATCAGCTTGCCTGGAAACAGACTCAACCTACTTGCTGCGCCCACTGATGCAGTGTATTATGCTTCACACGCTGTGCAGAAGAGGTGTGTTTTCATGAGTGTGTGCGGGTATGGCGATGAAAAGGAGCGTGCGAGTAGAGCCATGCACTGCCTTTTGCGCCAAGCCGTTAGCGCCTTTTGCTCCATTAACCGGCTTGGTCACCTGCATTCCCGCTCATTTTACCCACATTTTCACCATTCCCCCTCATTATAGCCCTGGAGTTTCCTTCTCCTGGGTTAGAGTAGTTATTGAGTTGGTCTCAGAACGTTCGTGTTCTCCACGTGTATCAATTGTGTATCAGTGCTGTTTCCATGAGGCTGCTTTTAAATTATTTATTTAAGATTTCGAACCTCTCGAGTTCACACGCTATTGCTCTGAACACTCGACGCACATACCAGGCCCAGACGAGCCTCTGTTTGTGCTGGAGAATGGCCAGCCTCTATCCCGATTGGCATTCATGGCAACTGCAAAGACGCTGCTCACTGTTGCGGCTTTGACTCTGCGTTGCACACCGGCCACTCGCTCAGAATAGGCACCGCCACAACGGCAGTGCTGGCCGGCCTGCCAGACTGCCAGACTCCATAATCAGAGAGGCGGGAAGATCAAAGAGTGATGCCTGCCTGAGGTACATTCCTACGACGGCTGCAACAATGCCTTCAGCCCCTTATATGAAATTCTGATATTAAAATCCTTTCTTTTGCCTGAACTGCTTACAGACTGCACAGGTAGCTGGTCATAAGGCCCGTTCCGGGATTGCCGATTTATGGAATATATGCTCTCCACTGGGTATACAACATTCCTATATTTAGCATAAAATTTTAGCGGCAGAGCCATTTGGCAGCTCCATTTCAAGTCATTTGGTTGCTTGGCTGCGAACCATCTAGCGGCTCCAAGCGGAGCCATCATACGCTTACTGCGATACTATAACCAGTTGCTCATATCGACATTCCCAGATTAATCCAACACATGGTTGCACTGTCATAAGGCCTGGTCCGGGAGTCCTGATTTATGGAATATAATTATGCTCTTCACTGGGCATCGACATTCCTATATTTAGCATAACATTTTGGTGGCAGAGCCATTTGTCGGCTCCATATCAAGTCATTTGGTTCCTTGGCTGCGAACCATCTAGCGGCTCCAAGCGGAGCCATCATACGCTTACTTCCGATACTATAATCAGTTGCTCATATCGACACTCCTAGCTTTATCCAGCACATGGTTGCACTGTTGGGAGGTTTGTGGGGGGTGGGGGGTGGGGGTGGAAGAGGATGCTTTATGAACGTCAGCATGCTGGCCCGATTTGTTCGCATGCGCGACTCACGCGGGCAAGCACCCTTCAAGACACTGGACAATGTACACTTTGCATTGTCAATGATGTTTTTGATTTGTTTAGGGGTCCTATCGCAAATGAGCCGCGACACGACAAAAGGGTGCTTATGGCACGCGACATCAAACTGAGAAAAATTCTTTGAAAGTTGAGTATGCAACATTGAGAGTGCACATTTTCTTTTTCAATTCTATTAGTTTTCGTTGCAATTTATCAAGCCTTTTGAATGCGTTTTTCGCAACAGAAGCAATGAGAATTCAGCCATTGCGATGTATCCATAACTCAGTTTGTGAATTTTTTCCCATAAGCACCCTTTTGTCATGGTGCGGCTCAAATAGTACACCATCTCTAAGAGCCAGAGAAAAGTACAGCCCTCTCTTGAATAGTGCGCCCCCCCCCCTGGCTTGTAACCTAGCGCATGTGCAAGTTTGGTGTTCTTTTGCTATCGTCTTGTCAATGTCACTTGCACTGGTGATCTCATGATCAAAAATTGCAGTTCTTGTTGCCGTTTTGCAAGACGTGATAGTTTACAGTAAGCTTAGAGCTCCGTTTCTCTTTGCCTGCTTTGCTTGAAAAGTGCCCTCTCTTGAATAATGCCACATCTGTGATGGAAATTGGAAAAGTAGTGTCCCAGGGGCACTAGCCGCGCTAGCACGGTATGTGCATCCTTCTTAAGGCCGACTCACAATACAACTTTCTGCGACGCGACACGCGATTAGCGACAGTTGCGACAAGAAATTGACTGTCGCGAGCTGTCATGTGCAGTTGCAAGGCGCCAGTTGCGTTGAAGAAACCTTTGCGGCATGCGACGCGCGACATACACAAATGGAGTACAGTTTCTACCCTGGGTACACGTGCAGTGCACGTTCAGTGCACGTGAATAGTACTACTAGTGCATACGGATGTCGTAAACATGAAAAAGATTGTGAACCGTGTGTCGCTGTCGCAGCTCATCGCAGGTGTCTCTAGTCGCATGTAGCGTCGCAAAGAAGTTGTATTGTGAATCGGCCTTAATAGTTCCACTGGTTATAAGCATACCTAGTTACATTTACTTATTAACCCTTTGAGGACCGAGGACGAGATAACTCGTCCAAAAACATTACGCTGTATTCCCGAGGACGAGTATACTCGTCCTGACAGTGCATACATTTGTACAGTGCATATACACCAGTGTTTAAATTATCGTAACTGTCCGATCATCGCAAAAGATTGCTCGTTGGAAAGCTGAGAAAATAAGCTTCCCAGTGATATGTCGTTTGATATAGCGCGATGTGGATTCATGGAGCGCCAAAGAGCGAAACACAAATACGCTTGAACTTTTTGACAAATTATCGTGTGCGCAGCGATCTGCATCTATCAGTACCTCTCAAACGGGGACTTCCCCGTATCATCGTTGCACGGCGCATGCGAAGTAGAGCCCAAATGATTCGCTTCAACTTCATGAATCTGGAGAACTTTGAATCGTTGTTCGGCGCTGAGTAAAACTTCAGAACGGAAGAAATTTGTCGAGGTGGGCAAAGTAGGTCACTCAGGCACAATGAGACAGCCCTCAAATGGCATGAAGGCGATTCTTTTGCTCCTGCTGGACATCTAGTTGAATGATTTGGAAAGAGGAGATCTGTAGCTTGCTGATGAGACCAAGATGAAGAAATTCTGCCACTGGTGAGTGACAGTAGAGAGGTTTTGCAGAGCGAACGTTCGCAATGATTTTCGCGTTCCGGGTTGCGAAAACTATTGCGAACGTTCGCGCGAAATTTGTGTTTTGCATGTTTTTCGCTCCAAGAAATTTTCGCGTGCACTCGCTTGTTTGAGAAGTGCAGTGAGTGGTCTTCATCCGATCATTTTTGTTGTTGGGAGTGGTGGCACCTAGAGTCACGGCCTGAGACGAGAGCTCCTTGACTACCTTGTCCATGGCCGGAGACCCACAGTCACAAACGGGTTGGCTTGTGCCGTAATCTGGCGCATCAACACCTGAAATTCAAAGAGGCATCTATGGCATCGTTGATGTAACCCACTCTGAGCAGTGAGAAGACGAGCAGGCAGGAGATGGTCCCGGAGATGAAGCAACACGGGCCGCCACAAGTACAGCCTAGCTAGCACCCGCGGACCAAGCCAAGAGTAGAGATCAAGCACAAACATGAGGACTGAGGGTGGCTCACCGTGCACGAACAGTCCACAAAGAGCAAAAATTACTGCGAAAGTTTGCATGTATCTCGCTCCAAGAAATGTTCGTGTGCACTCGCTTGTTTTTGAGAAGTCGTCTCCATCCGATTATTTGTTTGTTGCGAGTGGCGGCACGCGCACCAGGTACCCTGAGTCACGGCCTGAGACGAGAGCTCTTTGACTACGTTGTCCATGGCCGGAGACCCACAGACAAACGGGTCGGGTTGGCTTGTGCCGTAATCTTGTGCATCAACACGTGAGATTCAAAAGGCATCATTGATGTAACCGACTCTGAGCATGCAGTGAGAAGACGAGCAAGCAGGAGATCGGAGATGGTTCTGGAGATGAAGCAACACGGGCTGCCACAAGTATAGGAAAGCTAGCACTCGCGGACCAAGCCAAGAGACTTTGAAGAGTAGAGATAAAGCACAAACATGATGAAGATCACCGTGCACCAGGCCAGGCTGACCAGCGGTCCACAAAGAGCGAAAATTACTGCGAAAGTTTGTTTCGCGTTTCCTGCAACTTTCGCGTTCAAAACTGCGAACGTTCGCACGAAGTTTCGCTTTTCGTGACGTCAAACGAAAATTCGCGCGAACGTTCGCTCTGCAAAACCTCTCTAGTATAAAATCGTGCAGCTGCATACTCTGGGTGAGGCACGCGTCAGCGTGTGCCTAAGCGGGAATACGTGGAATCAGTAGTGGTCCTGAAAGGGTTAATTGTATTTTTTGTATTTGTTTGTATTTTTTCTTTCTTTACTAGTCATTTGACGGCTGCATGTGGAGTCATTTGGAGACTCAGAGTTGCACGCTCTTGGGGTTCTGCACTCTTGTTTACAAGTGGAGTGGAACAGATTTTTTGGTGCAACTTAATTTCATGCTCTTGCTCATGCTTGCTCTTCCTTATAGATGTGTTCATTCTACACAACCCCTGTACAATGGAACATGGTCTGGGGCTTCAGCTAACTGGACTCTACCTCCTATGGAAGCGTGAGGTTTTACTATTCGGACGTTATTAGAAAGAACAGCAAACAGGAGAGTGCATACTGGTTGACTGACCTGA